AAAATTTAGTAAAAATTAAATTTTGCTTCTATAATTTCACCCACTGCAGTCATGTGAACGTGAAATTTTCATGGTGACGCTGGGAATGTGGTCACAGTGGTCGTACGATTGCATCATGCATGATCAATGACCTTCGATTTTATTCTGTGGTATGTTGATCAATTATCTATATTACGCAATCGATTTTGCAGACATGTGACCGCAAGTTTGGCGTTTTGTCTATATACTGTATATTTTTTAGTATAAAATAGGAGCCTACGCGCCCCCCTCAAATACGCGATGCGATCCTCAAACCTCCCAGCTCCACCGTTTCACACAACCCTCCCCTCTCTTTTCACCAAACTATATATTCACGAGTCAAGATTTTCTTATGACTGACGAAAATTCTTTCAACGAATATTCAGTCATGTCTACGGCCCACCCTACAGTACGAAAGTTGAATATGGACAAACTCTGATTTTTTGCGGGTCGTCTAACACACTAACCTTTTACCCTTCTTTTCATATATCTAAAATAGATACATAGATACTTTGAACGAAAAGTATCAGAATGGAGTGTTACTGGATTCCTTGGCGACTGCAACATCGAACCGTTTAGACGAAAGTTACAGTGTTACCTTTTGTCTCTTGAGAGTATCGCCAATACGGAGAAGGGCCGAAGGCGCGAAAAGGCACAACAGCTGATTAGGAACTACAAGCAGGAAAGTTTTTAAGAGTTCTTGTGTGAAAACTTTTTATTAATAAGTCGCGTGGTAGAGAATATTCTCTATCATTCAAGTTCTATGAGCTGAGCCACAAAGCTAGTGTTGGGGCACAGGTGACCCTACGAGCCGACCTGACGCTAGCCCCTCCAGAACACAGATGACCCTACGAGCTGTCTGATCTGCGTCTTCGCCTTCCTGGAGGGATGATGTCAAAAAATGAGAACAATGATGTTTAAGGATATTACTAATTCTCGAAATCTTCTATATTAGGGACCAGATCGCGATTTGGCCAAAGATTGGGAAAAGGAGCATCAGTCAGCCGAAACGATTGATGGATCTTCGTTTTATATTTATCTCCACCAACCAAAATTTATAAACTGTGAGAATAATAACGGGAATATAAGTGAGAATATGAGTGGGACCACCAACGCCGGAACTTCTAATATGTTTATGGCCAGCAAAAGAAATTTGGGAAAGGTATATATCTGCATTTTTTAGTTAGAAGCTGAGAACCAACAAAACTTATTTTTGTGTTTAATACTTTAGGATGACCAGACTAATCGAAATCCTACAAAACGAACAAAAATTGATGATTAGGTCTCAACGCTTGCACCCCAACATGAACAACCTGACGAAAACGTCAATGATAACGATGTCACCTTAAGATCACCGGGTTATGAGTCTGAAGATGAATATATTCTACAAGAAGATCCTTGCGCTATTATTGATTGTAAACTGATTATTAACAATGTATGTATCCGGTCAGCAATGGAGAAATGGCGCGAATCGTCAAAATACGTCGAAGAAATACACAAGCAAGAGTATGTACTGTATATCTGTTGATATCGTTCCCTATTGATATGATTATGCCTTAGATACTATTTCTTTACTGAAATTTTTACAGCTTAATGCGCTACAACATTCTAGATACGACCAGTTCATCTGCAACAAAAGCACGAACGCTCTTTAAGAAACATTGGGACGATATCATCAGTACTATAGAAGGAGTTTTGACGTCTGCTTCCACTTCAGCTTCAGCTGATCAAGACACCGAACATGATGGCCAGGCAGAAGAAGTAAAGCAATACATGAAAGAAATCTTGACAAATGTGGTAAGTAGGTGTTATTTTAAAGTATATACTTGATTTTTGGTTTTTAATGCCTGTTTCATTAGAATTCTGCAACGAAATTGCATGAAACCATCAAGACAGAGCATGCAAAGTTGCAGGCCGATGGTAACATAAAATGGAAGAGGAGGGCTTTGGGGTTGATGAAAATCTTGTAAGTAATCTGTGTTAACCTTTTTTTGATCTTATTTTATGTTAACATGCAACTTTTGCATTATTATAGTCGGGACCAGTTTCCAAATGGAAGGAACTGTTTCCAAGAAGATCAGACCGAAGATGATTATATCATTAGGTTCGTTTCTCGTGTGTATATCATGCTATTCAAAGATAAGACGACGTTGAAATGTAGCTGGTAAGTTTCATTGTGTTAAGCAATACTTACTAATGCTCATTAGCATTTTTACTTACTTGACTCATTTAATAGGAGAAAAAAAACTTTGCGATCTTCTGCCGCTCTGCTCAACCAGTCATTAAAAGACGATGATCGGCGGTGCTCTGACAAAATCGATGCAATCCTGTCAATGGTAGATCTGCAATTAGAAATTTCAACTTTAGAAGTTTCGGGCTCCATCACATCTTGAACATACTCACTATGTCGGAGATAGGAACAAAACCGCAAAAATGCTCAAAATTATTCTGAATTTCATCAAAATCAACTACTCGGGTTGCTTTGAAGAGTTTAGGAAGATCAAAGTATACGGTGTCCAGATTTATGGTAATTTCTGTTGAACCGGATGGATACTTTTATAAGTATATACTAAAGTTTTCCTTTTCACAAATCCCTTTAGACCATAACTTCTACATTTATAGCATGTGTATGCCCTTTGCTGGCATTTATTATTTCAAACTTGAAAAACGGTTCACTTGTCCGACGATGACGTTTTTGCTATTCAAGCAGTTACCAAAGTTCGCCTTGAACTTGCGGATGTTACAGGTAAATGTTTAGCGTGAAATATTGCATACATACAGAGATACTAATGTAGTTGATGTTTTTAAAAATTAGGACATGATTACATCAAGTACCGAGAGTATATTGACTTACGTCACAAATACCACTTCTGAATCAAGTGATGACGATACCATGATTGATAAAGTGAAACCCTCACCCAAGAAAAACAAGAAAAAAAAGAATGAATAGGATTGAGAGTATTATGTGTTTAAGTGATTTATTTCGTATTGGGCCCACCTTGGCTAACACCTACTAAACGAATAATATTTTGAGACCAATATAATCTTTGTTGAAGTTTGACCTACATTAGCTGGCGTTGTAATAGATTTATAATATGGTAATAGATTAATATGGTAATATATTTAATGCCAGAAAAATAACTAAATAAACACCGGTCGTTGCCATATGCACATGTTGAAAGTCAGATACCCGCAGATAATTATTTATCAAATTAGTAATCACCACCCAACAACTGCAAGTGTTTCTCGTCATCGCGATTCCTAACAGTTGCCTTTAATCGGCGCATGCAAAAAATGATTGCCATAACAGCAAGACAAATACAGTCGTACCCCCTATATATATAATCACACAGTCGGGAACAATGCAACTTTTGTTGAAAATGTGCTTATAAAGAGGTTGTGACTGTATAGAGGGTTTTTCCTATAAGTTCCATAGTAATCGGTTCTCAAACATGGTGTTGCTAATAAAGAGGTTTTTATATGATGTGCTTATAGGGAGGGTGACTATAAAGGACAGTCAACTTCCGTTAATTCGTCCCCCTTTAATATTAATTCGGATTTCCGATAATCCGGACGTTTAACGCCGGACTCTTTTTTTCATATCTGATTCCTTCCTTTTATTCGTCCGATACTTACTGTATGATATTAATATTACGACAGCTGTCACGGATTAACTGTATAAATTAAGTATTGCAAAAGACAGCTTTAATTCGGCCATTAACTATCATTTCTATATATGGTAAACTATAATTCCCAATACAGTAAGATTATTCCAACGTTAATTCGGACTCTTAATAAAATCCAACCGTTCAAATTACAAACGAGTTTGATGGATTATCACAGAAGTGATACCGCTAAAAAACGTTCCAAACCATACACTCATTTAACTGCCATACAAAAGAAGGAAATATGACAACAGGATAGTGATAACATTAATATTCGTGTAGACGATTTATCAGTCGTTCGTAATCAAGTTTATAATCAGGAATTAACCTGACACGGGAAATAATATATTGAGCACATTAATGCACTCACCAACAAAAATAATTTAACTATAGATAGAAATGACATAATAATAATATTTATGTAACACGGTTGACATATATAGTAAGGCAAATTTACCGAGGGGATATAACTGAGGTATGATTACTATATATTTTTATAGTGGGAAATCGGGCTCTGTGAATTTTGGGGATAGGGATATATCGATTGGGATACAAATAAGGGAAATTTATACTGAGATACAATAGTAATAGGGAAATCCGTCCAGCCCCAAAGCTGGAATATATCCGAGGGTGGGTTTACGATAGGGGGTTATAAACGAGCTGTAGTCAATCGATTCTCGTTCCAAAATTCGCTCTCCTCGAATAACCCATCCATTTGAAGTATAGATTCGGCATACTTCATTCCTTTATCTCTTAACCTGTCTCTCGACTGCCGTTCTTGTTCACTATCCACACAATTCGAATAAATCCTCTGGCTTGACAGTCTTTCCATTCGATCGCTTGAACACTAATTTAGCAGTACAAATGCACGCAGTTACTTTTGTCTTTTCCAGAACAAAGCGGGAAACGAGAAACACCCATTTTTCATTCCAGGTGAGAAGACGTGTCTCGACTAGGAATTTTGCAAATGGTGGGATCTCCTTCTTGAATAATGTTTGAATGCCTACGAGCACATGAGTAGCAATAGACAAGGTTAAAATGATCTCTGGGTAGATACGAGAGAGGAGTAAAGTGATTACCTGCATTGTATATAAATAATTCCTTCTTGATCAATGGAGCGCCCCACTGTCCAGTCACATGGGAATAGCGCGCGTAATCCAAAACCTTATTATATGAACTAAACAGACAAAATATTCAGCACGATTTCTTTAAATTTGTATTGTCGAGAGAAAGGGATAATTTGAGCTTTATATTACCTGTTGCTCATGTGAAAATATATATCCATCTAGTTATGAGAAATAAACTGTTAAATTTCTGAACAAAGGGTGGGCAAGCACTCTAAAAGGTTCGTTATGAAATCGCCTACATCATCAGGCCATAATCTATGATGCTGTACTGAAATGTGAAACAAATCCTTCCGCTTCTCGCGCAGTCTATTCACCCCTTTTCTGTAAGCAAAATAGCTTCGAATATGATAAACCAATGGCCAAGATTTGTAATTGGAGAGAATTATGGCAACTGCCATAAGTTTCAGCGTATAACCGACATATTCAGAAACAGCCATGTCTAATACCACCGTGGAGGAGGGGAATTCTACTTTGGAGAGTTCACAATTAGGCTGAGCTCTTTCCATCAGTAATTAAACGCTCTTCCATTCCTGATTATGATGGACCGAAATGGAATTTTTGTGTTCATTGTTCGGATAAATATGTTGATCGGGATTTAGTATCGTGGCGTTGTGACACGGTAAATCGACGATTGTAATATGTCACACAACTGGGTATTAAGGCGTCAGTTACTATCTACTATCGAAAAATTTTTCGCTAGGACAACCACCTGACTTCCACTGCATTTTTTTGAAACATAAAACTTGAGCACGCCTAACAAAGTTTTTTTTGAAAGAACTGAAAAGGATTTTCACCTTGAAGTTTACCATGTCAAACATTACTATTTGTCCAATCGCTCGACTTCTAACCGGAACAAAGTTTCAATAAAACAAAAAATCATTTACTAGACAAATTGCTTTTTGTGGAGCGAGTATTTATAGACATTGGTGAACAGCAATGGCTTACTGAATGATTTCTGAGGGCGAAATCACACAAACGTGGAGGGCCGGAGAGGAGTTTTTAAGACCGTGAAGGTTGTCAAAAGGAGCTAGAAGAAGTTGTTATGTTTATGGTTGACAACATACAGTAGTGTGACAAAAAATTTCGTAATTTCTAAATTACACATTTACGTAAGAACCAGTGGTGCAAATAAGATAAATAAATTAATATCATTTGAAAGCTGAAACGCAGTAGATTTTATTGAAAAAATTTAGTATGGAATGCGTTCACGTTACTTTCTATGCATCGATCGTACTAACCCAATTATGATATATCATTCACACTTTTCAATCGTAAATATAAACACCACAATCACTAATATTTCTCGGCATTTCTTTCCCACATTTTTTTAACAATACTCCAGAGATTCTCAATTGGATTTACGCAGACTGTTAGAAAGCAAGTCTATTACTCCATGCATGTTATTCCGAAAAAGTTTTTCAATTTCTGGCAGTTGTCTCCGTAGCATGTTTATGTAAAATTTTTTATCATTCTTTACGCAAAAGCAAAGGGTTTAGTTTGATCCTTAACATAAAGATTAGGGTTAGGGCTACCGGTTTTTTATTGTTCGAGTTTTTAATGTTATCATAAGCAATACTGTGTGGAATAACTTTGCGTTTATGAATCTCCACACCATTTCTAATGTATTTATGTTGTATAGTTTGGCGATTTATCTATTGTCCGGAAGTCATGGTTCGAAATAAACAAATATTAATATGAAGTCCCTTATTATTATCTGACAATCATTTTGCATTTTACATTGTTTGAATCAACCTTAAATTGTACATGATTGAATTTTACGGAGAAATTACGGAATTTTTTGTCCCACACTGTAACTTCCCATTTAGTCAGAATCATGTGTTGATAATGTAGACCGTAGGAACTTGCGATAAACAGTGGAAGAATGAATTATGGTATGTGTTCAAGTTAAACTGCCAAAGTATTAATGTCAAAAAGTCGAACGGGAGAAAAAAGACAGCACTTCCGATAAAGCAATCATCTATGCAATATCTTTAATAGTACTTTTTTTGCCACATCTTTCATATCTTGCCTGAAAGCTCTTTTTGAGCACTCATAGCGGTATACTTACAGTTTGAAAAGTAAAGTTTTTCGAAAAGAATTCTCCTGTGGAAGACCCAAACCTTGGTTTGTTCCGCTCCGAAGTAGTATATCGCAAGAACCAGTAAACTTGGGTGCACGAGATAAAGTGTAGACGAAAGGGTTGTTCGTGAGAAAGATTCTGCTTAGGACAAGTTTACAAGGTCGTTTGAGTATTTCGCTGCTAATTTTCTCTGAAGTCAAGTGATTTTTGCGGAAGTGACATATCGTCGGACTGTTATTGATTGTTCAACATGCAAACTAAGATAACTCTGTTAATTTAACGTTTTTTTCGAAAATTGCGTATATTAAAGCATAATTAGATATTTGATGTCTACTCAATAAGCACTATGCGGGGAAAAGTGTACACGAGAATATCTTACGGAATCAACTACCCGACAAATTAAAATAAATCGATAACACCTAGTTTTACGTACTTTTGCTGTTGTTACATGATAAATATGCAAATGAAAGCTCATTCAATACTCTTCAATTTTTAAACATAACATTTAATAAAGTGGCAAGTCTAACAAATAACTATTCAGACATACAAGCAGTCTACTAAAAATATAAGAACAACATAAAATAGATACTAACTTCTATTAATAGATTAACAATTAAGACAGTTTCTTTTCCCTTGTAATCACGATCAAAAATGTACAATTACACGTTTTATGAAACTCATCAATGTAAAACACATGGCTAACTAACAAGTCGCCGTGTGATCTCTATGTGAATTGCAGGATAAATTACGTTTTACATTATAGTTCTATACAAAAGGTTTTGTTACATGACACTAATGTTTGGAAAAAATAAGCGGACTCTTTATGTTCACATTTGTGCAAGTTAACATTTTGGTTCTCGAAACCACATATGTGCGAGGTCAGGTATCATTATATCTAAACGGTGATTAAGATTCGAATAAACAAACATTAAACGTATACAGCGTTTATACTTATACTAGTAACAAACATGTCAATGTACTTATGCTCCTATGTTAAATAATTTGCAAAACAGTAATTTAACAAGAATACAAATTAAAATCGGTTCTCTCAAGACCAAATTAATGTCTACATATTTGT